GAGCACGTGCTGCAGCCGCTGCAGGTCACCGCCTCCGCGCTCGGCCTCGCCACAGAGACCGTGCGCGCAATACTCAAGATAGACGATATTGTAAGTATATGTTGATACAAGACATCTTAAATCAGCTCTGAACCTGTTCGGCTATTTGAACTATTTAGCTGTGGCTTAACAATTAAATTAGCAGATCACTGTTCACTACATTGTACTGAAACAATGGGGGCCAGAGTTGTAAACTATTCGATGACTTGCAGCTCACTTCATACCACATGCCTCTGCAGGTCTTTAGTTGACCAATGTGATGTCGCCATTACAATCATACAAACAGTTAATTGTAATTGCTGTGTAAATTTATATAGTATGATATAGTGATTATAAATCTAAAATGTATTTGTTTTTTTCAGATTAACACCGTTAATTAAAACATATTTTAGTATGTAACTAAAAATTTATTAATCACACCAGTTCACAAAGTTTTAATTTATTGTAAACGCCTTAGCTTCAACAAGTTTTTATCATTTGTCATTCTAATATTTTACATAAAATCTTAAGTTTTGTATGTGTAAGAATACTAATGTTATTTCAAAGCAACATGTAATTGCATTTAATTCTCTTATTTGCCACTATGTTTTATTTCTAATGACTAGATTACAAGAATGCCTGGAAAATTGTAAACACTATCCTGCATGACTGCAATGGTTGTAGAAAGATATATTTCAGGTTTTCAAATAAATAAATAATAACTATTATAATTGTTTTATTTCTTTTTTAATTTTACATGAGTTATTTAAAAAAATAGCCAAAACTCCAATTGAACACATTACTTAAAAAATCAATTAATCCATTAAAGGCCTGTCCCACCCCTTGCTAATAGAGGCTCAGATAGCTTAAATATCACATTGTCAGAAAGGGATGAAAATATTTCTATCACATATTTTACACATTCGATTGTTATCGGACATTTTACAATTTAGTGGGACAGCCCTTAATCTACTACAGGTCACATTGAAACAGTTTGTATGCATATATGTGCTCTCTCTGTAGTATGGTAAAAATACCAAACTAATTATCGCTGGTATGGATGAATCTGATTAGCTGCCTTTATATTTGTTTTAATAGCAGAGGGTGCTTTGGGCATAGCGGCTGTGGCAGGGCCGAGTTGAGGCGCTGGTCCACGTGAGGGTCCTAAGCCAGGTGCTCCCACTCCAGAAGGTCCCATAGAAGGCATGCCGGGACGAAGACCTTTTCCTGTTCCTACGGCAGTGACTAATGCATGTGTATCGGCTATACTATGAGTAGGCTGCATACCTGCATACAAAAGAAATATAATTTTATGGATGTAGGATGCGTTAAACTATAAAAGTATAAATGCATGTTATGATTGAATTACCTGCTGATCTCATAGATTCTCCCTCCCAATCTTCACGACCCTTAGATATTATTTCCCACACATGGCTTATAACTTTGGTAAACTGTGCCACTTGTTTCTGGAAAAGATAAAACATATCACTACAATATTCATAAAATAGTTTAAATTATGTTTGTATCATACAAACCTGTGCAGTATCATGACTGAGTGTGCTGGCTTTGTGGTTAAATTGTTGAAGACGTTGTTCAGCTTGAGGTTCTGGTTTTGTCCGTAGTAAATCGGGTACTAAGTCATGTGTGCATGCAGGGACACGGCCTTCAGTCAATCGAGCTAAAGCTTCATCTCGTTCACACCCCAATTGTAATGGGAGAACCACCACAGATCGTAACGACGGAGCCACTTCAGACTGAAGAATTTTGCTTAGACCAGTCAGCTAGAAATAAATTTGTGTATTGGCATTAATGTGCAAATGTAACTGAAGATCAAAGCACTATTTGTGTTTATTCAAATACTTACATGTCCTGATAAAATGGCATAGTTATCAAGAAAAGTCGGCCAATTAATAGTTTCATATTCATTTTCTAATTTTGATATTAGCGCTTGTATAGCTGTTTTAAGATCATTAACACGATTTAATATGGCATGTAAAGTTGCTTCTAATTGTTTTTCTTCACGTTGCATTTTTATAGGTTTATATTACAACTTTAAAAAGACTGGATTAATTAAGTCCTAATAATGATTATTTCATTGATTTCACTTAAAATTAAATACATTTCAACTAAATAAATAAAATATATAGGGCACTAAAAATAACTGGGATCGACGACAGCTGAAATCTGCCAATTTTACGCGTCCTGTCACTGTCAATGTCAATCTTTTGTCGTGTCAACTCCACAATCACAATCCAAATATTTGCTTATTCTTTGCTGTTTCAAGTGTCAAGTAAGATTTTTGATCAAGTTTGTTGTAACAGTGTTATAATACAATTAATAACAGAGATAAATGCAGTTATAATAGTGAGAGACAATTAGGTTTCTTAAGAAAAATGTGCACTGTGGAACAGATTGCTGATTGCGGAGACATTTTAAGTTTAGGAAGATCTCTCTTTATCCCTGAAAAAGAAGGTAAGAACAGTTCTGTTTATATAAGTAGCAAAGAAGTTTAGATGTAAACGTTGTTTGTTTCTTTCAGATAAAAATTGGCTATCCCAATGCTCTGTCTCATTATCACCTTGTGGCAACCTTCTGGCTGTGGGCTTCAAGAACCGTTTATGTCTTCTTACTACACAATGGATCAGTGCAATTGAAAGCAATACTTTTATACTATCGTGGAGTGGGACATTGCCTGCAGAAATAAATGCAATTTTGGCCTTGTCTATTTGTCCATCATCTTATTCTTCACAGGTTGTCATTATTAAAAAAAGTTTATTTTTAATCTAATTTATCAATGACTTTGTTTATTTTCAATTGTTACAGAATGGACCTGATTGGTTTTGCATTATTGTAGGTTTTACTAATGGTAGTATAGGTTTTTATACAAATACTGGCCATTTATTATTGCTTGAAAAATTGGATGATAAACCTGTGATGAAGATATCTTGTCATACAGGAACATATGGAACTTTACCAGATGATATTCATATTTTGTTCCATGGATGCATATGCATTTTATCAGGGTCTAGTTTATTTCAAACACTTCGTAATGCAAAAGCACAGCTAGCCCGAGGTGAGTTCCTATAGTTTGATGTGGTAAAATACAGGTCTATTAACTATATATTCTTGGATAGCAAATTTAATCAGCAAATTTTATTAAATGTTTTAGTACAAGCAGGTGTACAGACTAATTATGTTATTGATAGTCGCAGTATAAACATAAGAAAATGGTCATTTGCTGAACAAGAATTGATTAGTGATGCATCAGTTGTGGGCCTTGAACTAAAAAATACATTTGATCATTTTCTGGCGGCTTCAACATATGGAGGCTATGACACATGGTATGATTATAATTAATAATTTTTAAGATTGTCTTCACTTTTATTAGAAGACTTTTTCATAGTAGAATTTAAACATTAAATGGCTGTTGTAAATCTACAGGTATCGCTCAATTCCTCCAGTGAACAGTTTAATATTAACAGTGGGAACTTCACCATATACCGGTTTTCATTATGCCCTAGAAGGTGGAACAACACCACCACTGCAAGATGTTGCAAGAGCTGTTGCTAACAAAATAAAATCTGCCTTGCCGTGAGTTAACAAGCTATATAATTATGATAATTCCCAATTTTAAGTTTCAAACCTTAAATCTACATAAGATTATGAATAAAGTAACAAAATCAATAGTTGGGTTTTAAAAAAAATATGATTAATATAATTTTTTAATGTAATGTATTTAGTGGTTGGCTGGGAGGTGGATCAACTGAGAATATGGTCGCAAATCCTGAACCAATCATCCGATCTGAGGCATTATCTATGCGTAATGGCATATACGACTCACAACGTCTTGGAACCTTTGTAGCTATTTCCCCGGATCGGCGGTTAGCGGCATTAGCGGACAACTTGGGCCGAGTCGCGGTGCTGGATATCAATAGTGGATACATAATTCGGCTTTTTAAAGGTTATAGGGATGCACAATGTGCATTTGTTCAGGTGAGTGTAATGCATTGTGTCAAAGTTTTCTCTATAGTCTAGTTTTTGTGTATTTGGATTAGTTTCTTATGTACTTGTCACCACTGGTGGCTGTTGGTCTGGTTCTCAACTGTGCCAGCATGCAGCGGTCGCACGGTAGTTTCTGTCTTAATCTCTCGTGATTGATGCTTTAATGTACTTGACATTAAATATATCCTCTTTTCAGATTTTTGATACCGATAGCAAAAAACCGCAACTGACATCCATAAAAGAGATTAGAAGAGCTATATTTTTAATTATCTACAATCCGAAAAAGGGTCTTATAGACATTCGTCTAATGCAGAGAGGCACGCGTGTTGCAGTTTTCACTGCAACCAAAAATGGTCAACTTCTATACAACAGCTGTGGTTTGGTCGGAGCTGAAAAAAATTATAACCATAAAAAACTTAATATGCCTGAATTTCAGTGCGTTTTAATAGACCCTGATGGTAAATTGAAGAAATTCAATATACCTTTTTATTATTCTTTAGAAGGCGAACATTTACAGCGATCCAAGGACTTACATGTTTTGCGTGAAATTCGCGAACTTATGAAAAAGGTAGAGATGCTGTCTGAGGAATCTAAAACAGAAATAATTCAAAAGGCAACGAATTTTAAAACGTTGGAAATAAGAAAACATTGCATGGATTTATTTATTCGGAATACGCATATGCCGAACGATGTTCTGACAACTTGCTTGGAAATATTTTGGGAGAGTGTTCAGAAAGATAACTTAAACTGTCAAGTTCAAGAAACTAAGCTCTATTTTGCTAAATTGGCTTTGTTGATTTTCTTTTTCACAAATATTAACGGCGATGCTAGTGATGGTATGGAGGGGATAGTAGAGAAAGTGTGTGAAGATTTTGATTTAACACATACGAGAAATGAAATCCACAATGAGGTTGAAATAGGGCGAAGTTTTCATCTTTTGGAAGATGATAGTTGTATATTAGAGAGACTATTGATTTTAGCACAGGAGAATAATTTTAAAGAGCACCATCCAAGGGTATCTTTTGTGGACAGTAATACGACTTCGTACAAAGAGTTCATGTCTTACTTTGTTTTCAATAAGACAAGCAAAGTAATTACATTAAAACCTGACATTGCTGCTGACAAACTCGACAATTTAGCTGCGAATATTTTCAAATCTATTCTGAAATTAAAAGATTTTTCAAATTTAACAGATGTAGTAAAAGAAAGTCATATAGATTCAAAAGAGATAGTCAAACTGCTAATCACACATGTAATGAACATGCCATTAGATGAAATTAACATTGAATTAATTGAAAAACTTATTGAAATATTATTTTATCTGTGCAAAGTTACCGATGATGCTGTAAATATTAATTATAATCATATTTCACCTTGGTGGCAAAGTATTCGCGACATGCTAGTTGAAATGCGATGTCCCTTGAGAAGTATGATAGTGGCAATGGCTTGTAAAGCGGTGGCTAGCTTGTTCGAAGGCAACACGACTGGAAGAGAAGATGCGTGGGAATCAGTGACAAAAGAGAATGCAAAGTGGGGTCTTTTAATTGGTAAATTAGAAGACATTTCAATACTCAGCATTACTTTAATGTTTAAAGGAACTTTTATGGGGAAAACACTGCCCAAATTGCCAGTTGAAGATTTCAATATTAATTTAAAATACATATACATAAGAGGAAAAGGATCTGTAACTGAGTTAATTGCAAAGTGGCTATGTAGTATGGGCGTCCCACCTGAAGCTATTATTGCCAATGAACTGATTGATCTATATTCCGAGACCGATGCAGATACTGACGACGAAAGTAGTGAATCGACGCAATTATTTTTAGAAAATTCCCGGGCTTTTGTTGATGACAATCAAAGTTTATTTAAATGGATTTCGCTTCTTCGACGACAGTTCCCGTTGAGTACGTTGGCAGATTACATTATTGCTAACATGTGTTGGGAGTACGCAATAAATTGGCAAAAATGTATGCAAGCAAATGAAAATATAAAAGCTGTGCTACGTTGCTTAAAACACATATCTAACTTCCACCTACGACTTGGTTTGTTTTCTATTATATGGTCTACGTATATCAAACATTGTTTTGAATTGAGTTGCCGTTTGGTTAATAAAGTAGGAAAACTGCCAAAAGATCATCTTTGTCTGCAGGACTTAGGATTCAATAGTGAACATTTGAAAAATTTTCTACAAGTTGTAACTGAGTATCTTTACGATTTTCATCTTTGTTCCACCACGGCTGTTGGTCAAGAAAAAAAAGTCATTAAATACGAGAAAATATGGGATGAAAGCATGCCGTCATTAGTCGAAGTCGCTCAAGATGTGAAAAATGTTGATAAAGATATACTTAATCTCAATTATCAAATGTCTTGTACAATTTACTATCAATGTCATTTTAATGTGAAATTCCCTAAAGCCTTGGACACATTATTTGATATTGAATATCAATATCTTATCGAGGCTCTTGTTGGAAATATTGTACGGAGAGATATAAATATGAAACCCTCTGGAAAAATGTTAAATCCCAGAATGAAATTTTTAACTAAATTAATTCGTGCCGCTGTTGATACCATCACCTGTGTGAATAGTGACGAAGCTAATTTAGTTTACAATAACGAGGACTGTTTAAATTGGATGGAAAATATCAGTACTTTAGCTGAATTATGGAACGTTAATGAAAACTTCGTAAAACACCAATATGTGAGTATTAAGACTCCTCGACATTCTGTAAAATAAAGCTAACTATTTAAAGGAAACTGCTTAAAAAAGTATAGAAACAAAAATTACTCATTAGCTAAATCCATAAAACATTTTTCTATAGATTTACAAACAATATACAAGAATAAAAATCACTGATTGTTACAAGTGTATTAAAATATTCCTTCCTGAAATAGGTTGTAGGACTGTACCACATGGGTTACGATGCGCTGGCGCAGACTGTTGTGGGGTCGGTAGCTGAGCCTGAAATGTTATTGGTGCCAATTGTCGCCATCACTGTACAAAGGTTAAAACGAAATCTAGAAAAGTGTAAAAATCAGCCAGAGTGGATTGTCACAGTGCCACCACAACTTTACAAACGCTTACAAAATACGGTACAATTAAAGAATTCATAATGTATATCTTTTACATTTTTACTTTAGTTTTAAGAATAAAAAACAGTATGTTTGTTTTGCAGACATTGGATGTATCTGTACCTGCTAACCCTTCATTAACTACGACAATGATAATACTACAAAAACTTTTGTCGCAAGTGGATAAAAAACCTTACGCCAAGACATCAACTAACTTTCAAGATATAAATTTAGCAGAGTTGATTGTGGAGACTTGCGAAGTGTTAATACGAAGAAATCTAGGGTAGTACAACTGAGACCTAACGCTCTACAATTTTTTCTTGTGTTGGTGCATTTATTACTATATGTTGCTTTAGTATTTTATGCAAAGTTGTATAGTGACATCACAGAAAGGACAGCCATTATTAAAAAACAAATGACACAATGAGATAACCATGGAAGTAATAAGTACTACTTACAACAGAAATGAGTTCTATCTGTACATCTTGCAATTAAAATAATGAAAAAAATAAAACCTTATGCTAAGCGCGTAAGTGTCTCTTTCTAATAGTGACCTAGAGTTGCCAGATATCAATCCTTTTGTTGTTTGTAAAAAATAGGCTATTGATGTAATGTTATGAAGTAAAAACATTTAATTATAAAAAGTTTCTAAATTTTAATAATGATTTATTACCGACATGTTAAAGCAATATTATTTGTTACTAAGTGTAAAACCTTATTAAGGCTCAAATTTTGCGATTGGCGTACAGGTTTTCTTTTATTTGTTTGATATTCGGACACCTGAACTGACAATCACATGTGACATTCCGACTCGAACGTTGATGGAGTAGTTTTTTTTTTATTTTGTCATACTTTTGAAGAATTTTAATTTAAATGGGAAGGATTTGTGTCGTGCAGGCTTGCTGAAACCAGTATTATGATGATTGTTACATTTTCAGAGATAATAGTTTTAAACATCATTTGTTGGTGAATGGTGTATGGTGACCATACATGACTATCCAATCCTAGTTCAAGAACAAATGACTTAAATACTAGTGCAATTATTTATTCCTTTCTCTATTAAAATAAATTTGTTGTAATTTCAGATTTAAGATATAAGGAATAAGTTAGTTTTGTGGCATAAACTTAAGAAGACTTTTATTTAACAATGTCTAATTTAAAATTATGTATTATGTTAATGATAACACTAATACATTAAGATCCATCTGAAGCAATAATCAGCTGAGGTCAGACAACGAAAACAAGATTTATTATAATTATTGTCCTTAAATCATATTTCAACATAGTCACCATCGTCAGAGAGGGATAAAAGGTACAGTTATCGAAGTCTCGCTCGGCTTCAATTTTGCGACAAGAGCTCATTCCTGTTCTAGTAGTACTTTTATGGAGATAACTCATAATATAGTAAAAAATCTTCAACCAGTTACTTCAACATATTTATGAATAAGTATAAAAAAAATTCCACCCTTGTTTGAAATAAAACAGATGAACTGCATATAATTTTTATTTCACCGTATAAGCATGCTGTATGATTCAATTGGTTTTCTCTGTGTTAGTCACAATTTATATACAAATCGTTTACGTGGTGATTTATCCGCATGAAATTATAAAACTTTATTTTATTGTTTACATTTGTCTTTCAATTGCAAATGTCAAAATTCAAATCAGAATTGACAACGAAAGCCTTTGACATTGGATAAAAATTACTGTTACAATAACAACCTAGCTTCCTTGATGTCAGCTTGTAGTTATAGTCCCTTTCTCGCATGACGATTTTTCCAAACTATTTACCCCTTAAGTTTAATAGCCTGAAAATATATAGCCTAAAGATGACGTAAGTGTAGGGCTTTTTTGTTAGGAAAAAAATGTTTACGCAAGTGAAAGTCTTGTTGCGTTCAACGATCTCCTGTGACGACAGTGAGAGTACTTTGCCTTACCCTTACTCGCCCTGGTCGCTGTTCCACCACCATTATAAGTAATTACAGCGTTTCTTGTCAATTATTTACTTCTGATAATTTACGTATATACGGACGTCCATGTAATTAATTTATTCTAAACAGTGTAAATTCATTTTTAAAAGTGAATTTAACTTAATCAATTGGCATGACAATGGCAGCACGTCCGCCATGTCACGAAGCTTTTGTTGTCAATGGCGCAATTGTCAAATTGAAAACAAATCGTAAAAGTCACAATTGGATAGAATCCTTTAATTCAGAATTTATATTGATAATACAACAAACGAGAAATAAACATAAACTATAATGATCCACAAACTGATTGACACGAGTGACGATATTAGATTTAAACAAAGATAAAATTCTAGTGCCACAAATACTGAAGATATTGATCAAGGCAGAGCCATTAACATAATCACTAGCGATGGATTATTGTTTACCATGAAAAGAATGCAATGTTAGTAGCTTTGATTTTATTTTTTATGTAGGGTTATTATTTAATATAATTGTTCATTAAATGTGTTTTGTGCAGCGACTGTATTTATTATTTCAGATTGTTTGACTGCATAAATATATCGAAGTAATGGGGTGTCTTCATAGTAAAAAAGAGGTTATCGAACTACATCCCAATATTTTTCGTGTGCTTAATATCAATGATGATGGAATAGAGGTCACTACAGGTCAATTAGAGATTACAGAATCCGATATTGTTTTGCATAGAGAAGGAATAGATTCTATTGTGTGGCCTCTACACTCGTTAAGACGGTATGGTTTTGAAGGAGAATTGTTTAGTTTTGAATCAGGTTTGTTTCAGTGAGCTTTTTATTATTGTTTACTAAGTACTTGATACTACATTTATTTTCAGAGAAAATAATGTAGTATATTTATGTCAAGTTACATTTAGTTTTTGTAACATTATTAAATATTATTTTTAAATTGGCTTTTATTTCTGTTTCAGGTAGAAGATGCGAGACAGGAGAAGGAATTTATGCATTTAGATGCAGAAGGGCTTCTTCACTATTTCGGTCTTTACAACAACAAATTCAACTAAAAAATGTTGTTCAAGATTCTGTGCCATACCCTGTATCTCGATTAACACCATCCCCTCAAGGACGTCAAACATTACAGGCCTCTGTAGTTCACCGTTCTTCAATTGATAATGGACAAGTTGATGCAGCAGGACCAACTCACAACAGCAATCTTCCCATTATAGCTTCAAACAACACTGTCATGAGAAATGCCACCCAGTCACCTCGTTCACCTTCTAGTGCTGATATTTTAGAAGTGATGCCATTAAATCCACGTCCTCAAGCAGCCAATAGTCAAGTTTCTAATGTATACCAAGTAAGCGATTTTAAAAGAGAACATAATAATAACCAAGATGCAGTGACATCGACAGAGACTCGTCATGTATACAGTAATGATATAAGTAGGGATTTGGCCGTTCTTAGAAACACTTTGCGACAAGAAACTGCTTTGAATACTATTAAAGATATTGAAGACGAAACTAGATACTTGGAAAGTCGCTATGTTAATGAATCTATTCCTAAAAATTCAGCAAATAAAGCACTGTCACCAACTTTAAGTAGTACAAGTGAACATTATGCACAGCTCAGTATAGAACAACAGGAAGCAGCAAGGTTGTATGTTAATGTAGCCCCCACTGATACAAGCATTCCTGAAACAGAGAAAAATGACCCTATTCCCACAACACCACTCACACCCAAACAAGTTGAATATTGTAATTTAACTATCAACAAGCAGGAAATTAATAGCTATGCAAATCTGTTACTGGGAGATATTGCTGAAAGTCCTAATAACCTGAAACCCAGCCTTCATTCTAATATTTCAGATCCAAACCAAAAGTTTTCAGAGTCCGATACTTTTACTTCTTTGTCACCAGTGGAAGAACTCGAAGTTAACTACGCTATTCTGGATATAGAGACCAGCAAGGATTCTGGAAAAGCAGCAAGAGAATTGGTTTCACCAGAAAGTCAATCATACGCAAGTTCAAAAAATGAAAGCACTGCTTCTCATTCATCACAGACTCGTGGGCGTTTGGTGACGCAGAATAGCTTTGACAAGATGACCACAACAAACAGTTTGTCAACAATGGCTCCTTTGAATATTGGATATACTACTATTGATTTTGATAAAACAGTTGCATTGACATCTGTTGCTTCAGGCGATATTAACGACTGCTCGAGAAAGACACGACATAATTCTTGCAGCATCGCATGTGGCAGCCCAGGCATTGACAAAAATAATAAATAAGTTATGTTAAATCATCTTTACATAGATGCTATTTTACAAAAATGTATTAGGTTAAGTATATGGTACCTAAAAGAAATCTGCCAAATATATATTAAGTTAATTTTGTTTAGTATGAATCAAAAATGTTTTAAATCTTATTAAGATTCTATAAGTACAATTGTAAATGACAAGAATTGCTTTGAGATAATAATGACAATTAAAATTAGTAGTAGCACAAAACTAATTGCCAAATACAACTTAAATTATAAGTATTGTAGAAAATTAAAATGATATTACAGACTAGAGAAGTATTAAATCGGTGGTAGAGACGATCTACAAGCTTTTTGATATTTTATCAGTTGATTTTACTTATTATTCCACCTGATTATTATATGTTAACAACAGAATAAATTATTTTAAAAATGATGTTATGTTAAGTACATGGCTTAAAATAAAAGCAAACATATGTTAAGTCAGATGCTCTAAATTTGTATTAAATGTAATATGACGATATGTATTGCTTTATATAATTATAATGCAAGGTATAACAGCGAAAAATGTTGATCACAGTTGTGATTTGATTGTGCTGATTATAGTTTAGCTTTAAGTGTTGACAAGGCTAATTTGCCAATGGCGCAGTTTTTGCCAAAGATTTTTTAAACCTAAGTAAAAATCAAAGACTCGTATTTTTTTAATTACAATATTTTGCATCGTTTGTTAAACAAATATTTATAAAAAAAATGTGTATTTAAATATAAAATATTTAGTTGTTAGATAATAAATTAAGAATAAGGTAGGCAGACTTGCCTATAACTTGTCTACCTATGGCTAACGAACATTGGGAGAAATATGGAACTAAGTCTGGCACAAGCTAACAAATGATGTAATGAAAAATGCAATGAAAGCGCTTTCAATCCAGGATTTTTATATTATCCATTAGGCCATAAATAACATTTCTGTTTTATATTTCATTATGCAAAGATGGTGAAATTGTATATTTACAACAAAAATGTATGAAAATAAAAGAAATATACTTTGTAGATTTTTTTTTATCCTTTTATCATCATTGGCGGTGATACTTATTTCCAGTTTTATTCCACAATCCGAGGGTGAAGACTTTTTTAAAATAAATATGTCATTAATTGTAATTAATACATTGTAATTACATAAATCCCTAGCATAAAACTTTTACAATAGTAATCTATATCTCTGAAATATGACATCTGCCTGTGTTTCGTATGGGGATACATGTCGAGTTAGGTTATTTAGGGAGATGGTTTTTATTAGTTCTTCGTTATATTAAAGGTCAGCAACACATCTCGCAGGTATTCATATGCAGCAGTCATTTGGCAGTTTTAATTCTAGCAACATTAGGTAGTGGCTCCTTTTGCCACATAAAACCTTAGTTTCTCAATAAAATTGAGTGGGGCAAATAAAGTACGTAGTAAGAATATTTTTTATAAATTTTATTACAACAAACGTATAGAAGTTTTAAGAAATAATGTAAATATTTATTAGTATCACATTGAAAGAATTAAAGCATAATTGCGCCGGAGAGAGCCGGTAACAAAACCCCAAAGAGGAGAAAGTGACAAGTCCCAAGTTTCTCACCGCCATCTGAAAAATAAATCCATGTTATAATTTTTTTACGACATAAAGCACATAATATATTATCATTTGTACATAACATATTATCACATATGAGCTAATGATTATTGAAATTACTTTTAAAAATTACTATTTCTATATTACTAAAATTGATATAGCTATATATGTTAAAATATTTTAACAAAATTTAATAAAGCATAAGTAGATAATTCAATGTTTTTAAAATACAATAGAATTTTCGTACAAAGTATACAAATTAATGATAATATAGATTATAGGTACGTTATTTATGTAGATAATACTTACTGATATTAGACAAATAAATAACATAACAGATATATTAACGGCGTGTTGGGCCAAAGTTGTGTTTGTTAAATATCAAGCAAATACATAAGCCAAAGGATATTAATAATGGGGTTAAAATAATTAGAATAACTAATATAAAAATTAAACCTTATATAAGACTAAAAACAAATAACAAGATATTTTAAATAGAAATAGGTACGTTTTAACAGTTTTTGAGTCGTAAATTAGTATTCAAACACGTGTTACAAGTTGTTCCATAGTATAGGAGTACTTAGGTATAAAAATAGTCAGTTTTTAAAAAAAAAAACACCCTAAAATTGTTTTACTACAAAGTGGCGTAAGGAAAAAGTTTCAAATTACATTTGTGCAGGGGCAAAAACAAATTCAATTACCCACTCTCACAATCATGTTATAGAAAGTGGGCGATTTATTTGATTGAATTTTTCAACATAGGGGTATTGGATACTTACGGATTTTTAATATTTTATGTACAAACAAATAAAATAAGAAAGGGGAGAATATATCACAATGTAGGAATAGAAAATCCGTAATATGATAATAGGGGCTGAATTGAGTAATATTTTTAGAGGTTGGTGGGTTGTTCTAAATATACTAAAGACTTACTTATATTTTGTAAAGGGTCGGGGACGACATCGGCAGCGGTGGCGGTGTCCGCGGCTTCCGTCGTGGTCGGCTCGTCGCCTAGCGCCCGCCAACAACACCGCGTTAGTTAGCAAACATCGCCACACATTATAACCTAGCTACCTCATCAATGACTTTAAATCAGTATTATTTCTCATTCACACATTTCAAAAACTCATGAAAGTTAAGAAGCGTTAAAAAGCAAAATCACTTTTACTTTTGCGAATTTTATATTTTCTTATTTAAAATTTCTAATATCCACTGAACAAAAGTTTGTACTCAAAACATATTGACACAGTTTTATTTCACAGAACAAGATGTTTTTGCAATGGAAAGGAGTTGGAGTAATTTCCTTACCCCTGCAGAGCTTTGCTACGAGACAGACATGAAAAATAGTTAAGTTTTATGATTAGATTCTAAAAAGTACTGACATCGTTAACATCCAGAGTACACTGAAGTGCAGTTATACATGCGTTAGAATTGTTAAACATTCTCTTAAGAAATCCCTATTCATCCTTCTTCATAAACAGACCACACGATTTATTTTGTAACAATAATTTAATTAAATGTTGTTCTTTACTTTTGTTTCTTTTCTATGTATTATTTACCAGATTTTAATAGTTACATTTTTTAAATGTGTGAGTTTGTAATCGTATAATTTCGACATACCTGACGAGTTGAAGGTTTCAATATCGACGAAGGCGGGATGCGATATATTATCATTTTTAAAGAACAGTTCGCAGCGAACTTCTGCGCCGTCGACTGTACTTTTGGTGACAGTCGCATTGGCCACTATGTCATACAATCCATCGAAAGGTCCTTCTACATTCTCTGATGTATTCGAAAGTAAATTCCTGGAATAAAATAATGTTAATTTGGGTAAACAATTACAGCCTCACAAATAAACGCGGTATAAAGTTAAATTTAGGAATAAATTGAGTACCTATAAGCAAATATTAGTACAAATTTTGCTTATATTCAGTTTATTCCTAAGTTTAACTTTATACCGCATTTATTTGTAAGGCTGTTAGATGATAACATATAAAGAAACAAAAAATATGTTTTAGTAAATTATTATTAAACATGTGTTAGATTACCCGTCCACAGTGATGGTGATGTCTGGGTAAGGCGCGACGTCGCTCGCCGCGCACGTCACCACCACGTCCCCATCCTCGTCCTCGTCGGGCCCCTCCTCCGCCGCTGAGAAGTTCAGCTGCGGTCCGCTGCCCATCGCTTCATACGATAAACAATAACGTGCTAGTATTACTCGAGCGCAGAAGCTAACATCGATGGCCTCGTGACGTCACGCGTTAACGTTTGTGGGAGGGGAAGTCCTCGGAAAAATTGTACACTGCTACTTGTAATGTCTTGCTGATTTGTGATAAGTAAAAACATTGAGTAAATGTTTAATGTAGTTTTCAATTGAATATAACATTTACCTTCGTAATTCGTAAGTATAAATTAACAAATCAAATTAGTTTTCACTTACAGTAGACAATGACGTCTTGATGTGCTCGCGCCTCGTCTATGTTGGACACCTCGCATTCGTAGGTCCCGGAGTCCGCGGGGGTCATGTTCAGTAGTCGAATGCCATCATTCTCTAATAATTCTGAAAATAGATCACGTGGAACGTTACCAATCATTTTTTACACTGTATGCCACTTGTAGAATATTTAAGCGGAACTTTTATTTATGAGTAGTTTAAATTTTAAGCTTAAGTTGTAGATCATCGAGTCATATATCAGACTACATCAGGCGCTGAATTAGTGTATTACTATAGTTACAGTGTTGTACTGTACTATGTCTGGTTTCATTCGGACAATATCGCAGGCCCGGTATGGATTGTATATGAATGCTGGTGGGAGTTACTGTTTGCGTTATGCGCGGTTCATACTTGGCCAGTACAG